TTTTAGTTTAACGAGTTTATTTGCAGTGATACTTTTAGGGTGAAAACAATGCTAAGACAAAGAGTTATAAATCAACACATGAAAAGTTTTTATTGCGTAAGTTGGCAATTATGAAGTTGATGTTTGGAGTCAGATTTTGTAATTGACCTCTGGCTGTCAACTTTTTTTAAAAAGAAAATGTCTTTAAAAAATGTTTGAGTGAAATAGTGATATTTTATTCTTTCATCAGCTAGCAGTGACGGAGAACAGAAAAATGAAAGAGATTATAAATATAAGAATAAATTTTAGATTTTGGTATATTGAAAAGACGAGCAAGAAATGTGGGAAAATGTGGAAAAAAAGTGATTGGGTTGAACAGCAAAAACTACGAGATGGGTAAGCGACACCAGCTATTGTAAATGACTAGAAAATGTTAATGCAAATATTGATATATATTTCATAATATATGTTGTCATTTGCTTACGTTAAGATACACTTCGAGAAGATATGATCGTTCGAGAAAGATCGTGAGAAATTTGTTTGTTTAAAAACAGTAATTTGACTTTGCTAAACAGACGCTTCCTCTGTAGCTAAATGGCATAGCACATCAAGGCAAATGACGGTTCCGTGTCGGATACAGGTACGATTCCTGTCGAAGGACACATATTTTCTACGACATTTTTCGGGCATTCAGGCCAGTAAATGTAAATAATACTGTTTATTATAAAGAGAGCATTTACTTAAATAATTGTATCTAGAAAAATAACGTATAATCAGTATATATATATATATATATATATGTGTGTATATATATATATATGCGCGTGTGTGTGTATGTTTTTAGAATAAAATATGGAAGAACCAAGTAAAAACGTATAGATGACGAAAAAAATCAAAGAAAATAAAAAAGGCGAAATTTTCTGGCAGTAAAAAAAAATATAACAAGAAATGCATAATGTTAAAATAAATAAATAGTGCAAAGGAAGTTGTTTTAATTTACAGCAAAAAAAAACGAAGAAACAGCGAAGAAAAATCTAATTCATTTGAAGGAAAGATAAATGCTACAAAAAACTATAGCAAAACTGATATTAAAAAAATAAGAAGAGAGAGAGAGAGAGAGAGAGAGAGAGAGAGAGAGAATTCTTGATTTACGGCAGATACAAATCATGTGACCTAGCTCGACCAATCATCATCAGAACGTAGGGTCTGCGCTGGTGGTATGTGGGCGACAAAGAATTAATCCACTAGGTAGGATAGAGCGAGTGACCAATCGCTATTCCCACACAAAATACACCCCTCCCCCAGCAACCGAGTGAATCCACATGACCGTAAAAGATAGATGCCAAACTGATGGGCGAAGCATTAAAATAGTGCGGCAGACGGGAAAGGCCAAACATGGAAACTACTTATATTTACGCATGTTGAAAATCATTAGATGTTGACATCTTTAGAGATTTATGCGGAACCAGATTTGTCCGTTCGGTAGTTTTCGCTCTTTTATTACAGAGAGCTACGTAGACGAAACATTGTTAACTTTGATGTGGGCGGCTGACATGAATATCCTGGTCATATTAAGATCGTCTATATTTACCACAGTCAAGCTTGCAAGTTTGGCTCGAGTGACAGAAGAGATGTCCAAAAGCTGAAAAATCAGAGGTTCGTTTTTTTTATTTAATAGAATTCATCCCAGGTAAAGCAGTAAAGCTACTAAGACACAAGGTGTTTGTGGGTGTGAAAGATTAGAGCATTATTGAGGGGCGAGAACAATAGAAGAGTAATCAGGAAGACAATGGATAACGATTGACGTTCCATTTAAATGTTTTGAAGATCAAATTTGACTGGAAAGCATGGAACTGAAAGAGAGTTCCACATGTGAGAAGTGCGAGAAAAGAAACTTTTAGCATAGGACTTATGGTTACATCAAGTCAATTAAACTGCAAACCGACGGGACCTTATTGCTAATCCAGTAATGCGCTTAAATTCATAAAGTCTAGGTACCATGGAAAGGAACTCATTCGAACAATTCTCATGAAAGTATTTATAGAAAAGGCAAAAGGAAGCCACTTTACGACGGTGGGAAAGTCACTGAAGCCGAAACGGCAAGCCAGGATCAATAATATTGATGATTCGTCTTTGTATTAGGTTGGGGCAAAAATAATGACGTAATAATGTCGTTTTTTTGACGTATTTTTTAACGTCAAAAAACGACATTATTACGTCATTATTTTTGCACCAACCTAATATTTTATCAGTAATCTCTAAATATAAAGCCGGAATACAGGACCATATGCGGCAGCAATATTCGAGGCATAGACGTATGGTAGACATAGATATGTAAGATAGATTCTGGAGAGAAAAATTGTCTCGCACGACACAGTGAACCAACTTTCTTAGCAGTAGACCTAGCACTTGATTCGATATAGTCTTTCCTCTTCATGTCAGCCGAGAATGTTAGCTTCAGAAGAAGGTTAGCATCAGCCATGCTAATGGAAAGCCCAAAGGGGTCTCTAAGATGATTAAAAGAGAGCAGCTTTGTTTTGGAAGCGTTAGAATTAACAAGTCATTTTTTGACTCAATGTCGTTTTTGACATCAGTCGCTAATTTGACTTTGTCGAACTGATAAGACTTACTATCGAGACAGGAATAAATGGTTGTGTCATCTGCATAGATGCCAAGTTGAGCGCTCAAAACCTGAAATCAATAATATTGCAGATTCGCCTTTGTATTTGATGAATAATCTCTAAATAAGAAGCAGGACCATTGAACCATATGTGGTAGCAATGTTGGAGAGAGTTCCACCAGCGAGAAGTGCGAGAGAAGGAACAGTTTGCATAGAACTTACGGCTACATCTAGCCATTTCAACTGTAAGGTGATGTGACCTTGCCGCCAATCTTGGAGTACGCTTAAATTCATGAGGTTGAGTTAGCAAAGAGAAAAACTTATCAGAACAACCGCCATGAAAATATTTGTAGAAAAGATCTAGGAAGCTGCGTTACGACGGTGTGAAAGTGACTGAAGCCACTCATTTGAAGAGAAATCTTAAAAATCGATTAAAATTTCATAAAAATATTTAAAGTGAATATTATTATTTTTTATATCCCTATGATTTAATAGATACGACTAAAAAATTGCTATATGAACCAATATTCCATTTTATTTTGCCTTTTAAGCTTTTAGGGTATAATTTTGAGGTTTTCTCGCAAGAATTAAAATCAGTTTAATTCTTCTGGGAATTCTGTTTTAAAGCATGCAAAATCTTTTCAGGGTCACACTGTAGCCTACGAATCTCTGTCTATAAAAGGCAGGATGTGTGTGTGTGTGTGTGTGTGTGTGTAACGAATGCACGGCCGCAATTTTCGACGGATTTGCACCAAAATTTACATGCACATGCTCCAAGTTAGCGTGAAGGCCAAGACCGACTTTGCATTTCCCAACTCCCATCGATAGTGGAAATAATCGATTTTTTCATGCTTCTACGGCAGTTTTCATGTAGTCTACGGCCATTTTCTACTGGCCAGAGTGAGAGCCTATAGCTGGCTGCCACGAATAGGCAGGAAGATTCTGTTGGCCAGCGTGAGAGCCAACAGCTGACTGACACGAATGTTAACTAGAATGCTAGCATGCAAAAAAATCGATAGCTGCATTCGTCAAAAGTGGGAAAAATTTAAATCTGCATTGCACTTTACTCCAGTTGGCTCATTCGCTTGCTTAAACTCAACGTTGATTCTGATTCCGCAGAACTGGGTTGGGTGTGAAAAAGTATTTGTTGTTAACATTCTTTTTTCATTTGGTTTTTCCAGTTACGAGTCCTTTTTTAAAGCTGATTGTTTTGTGTTCATTTTGTTTAGTTCTTTTTTCGTAACATATTTAATGTTTAGTATATAGCTTAGAAAAAATTCGCAGTGTGAGATAGGCAAGAAGTAAGGCATGTAGCAACATTAGCACGGCAAAGGGCACTCCTTTAAAGGCAAGGAAGGGCAAAAATATTTTAAGTCAAGTGATAGCGATTGCTGTATGAGTCGTACGATTTTTGAATCAAGCAGGGGCAACGCCGGGCCATGCTGCTAGTCCAACATAAAGGGAGGAAATTATATCAAAGAAAAATATTTTTATTTTTTACGAAGAAACGTAATTTGTTAAATAAATTCTGTCGGAGACGTTGAAAGAACGAATTTTTTTAAAATAAATTTTTATTACTTTTTAAATTATCGGAGTATTTTAAAATGCGTATTCATCAATCGTAAAATTGTTTTCTCTCTTCTTGTATTTCAAAGAAAAATATTATTTGGTTGCACCAGAAAATTATTTTCTATTAGTATAAAATGTGAGGAATATTGAAGGAAATTATAGACCAGACAAAGATTTGAACTTATGTCCTCAGAATTCAGAATAACTGAATTCGTTACTGATAAATGTACTTTTTTTTAAATTGCAAGGATTGCTGAAAATTTCTTCCTAAAAATAAAATCTGATATTTGATCATTTGTTTATGGTGGAGTAATGGATAGCAGCTGAGATCGAGGAATCGGAGAGCAGAGTTCGAATTCCAGTTAAATCCATTATATTCACTTACGTGCTAATACGCTTGGGAAAGATATGAATCCTTTGCTTCTTTCACCCCACCAGCTATGAGTAAATAGCAAGATAGACCGTATTCGATAGCCTTGGATAGCAAATGGTCTACCGCAGAAAGAAATGGCAACCTACTATGAGAAAAAAAATCTGCCTCGTCATTGATGTATCGAAAGTTACATGATCGCCTAAGCGTGTATTACGCATGACACCTAACCGACTGGCTGTTTAGGCTTTGAGAAGTGGGTTAGGCCAAGAATTAATGACTTTTAGCGCCATTCTTTTCTACGCTGAATATAGACAAGGATTGTTTCCAATTGGACAGATTAGAGACAGTCCAAGAAAAGCGGGCGAAAATGGTCGATCAGAAGTATGTCGTCTTCTTGCAATGCGGGACCTTACGTCTTCTTGCAGATCCGACAGACATTGGTACAGCTTGGCTGAGGCTAACGGCCTTATCACGTCCAAACACCGGGTCTTGTACGATCGTCGAAATTAAGCAACGTCGCTCTTGGTTAGTACCTAGATGGGTGACCGCTTGGGAATATCACGTGCTGTAAGCTTGTATGTGCGGGTGGTGTAATGGATAACAGCTCGGAATTGGAAATCGGAGAGCCGAGTTCCAATTCTAATTCATTCTTCTCACCCCCGCTGTGGGTTAATCATTAGAATTCGCATCAGTAAATCATTGTTATCTTCAAAAGATTTCTTACAATATTTTTCGACTTTAAATAACCTGCAAGAGGTTGATAAGCCGTAAAAAAGAAATAAATCTATTTAAGTTTGGCTGTGATGTCCTAGTAAACCCGCCGTACTCAACAGACATTACACCTTCGAATTATCACTTATTTTTATCCTTAAAAAATCTTGAAGAACTTCATTACTTGTGAATTCTGCAAAAGTCACTTCGATCAGTTCATCACCAGAAATGATGCCAAATTCTAGTTGGATGGAATTATGAAGATGCCTCAAAGATGGAGAAATGTAGTGGACCGAAATGGCATATATGTCGTTGAATGAATCAAATATTTTCTCCAAACAGTGGTTAACTGGGGCAGTAAATGGCTTGCAAACCATAATGACTCCAAAAGTCTTATTTGACTGCCACAGAGAAATTTCCCTGCCCACCCACCACCAGCATGTTTGATGCTTAACTCCATGAGAATGTCTCAATGCGCCTTCTTGGCCTCACGTTTTTCAATGACGTGAGGTTGAACAACTACATTGAATCAATAGCTGCATCTTCCGCAAGAAAAGTCGGTTCACTGTGTCGTGCGAGAAGGTTTTTTTTTCTCTCGTCAGAGTTCATCTTACAAATCTACCATTCGTTCATGCATTGAATATTATTGCCAAATCTGGTCTGGTGCCCCTAATCTGCAATGTAATCTGTCCTGACTTGACATTTCGACTTCAGTCACTCTCTCATAGATGTGAGGTGTCTTCCCTCTGTCTTTTCTACAAATATTTTCATAGTAACTGCCTTGACTACATAAATTCAACTACTAATATCTAAGTCCCGCCCTTTTACTGTTGAAATAGTTAACTATAAACGCCACTTCTACTCCAACAATTTCTTTTCTCGTATTTCCCGACTATGGAATTCCCTTTCTCTTAATTTCCTTTCTGATAACTACAATCTTCATAAATTTAAATGCAGTGTCAACCGCCCCCGTTTATCTTTTATAACTTTCCTCAATTCCCCTTATACTCAGTGTTTTCCCTCATTTTCACTCTCTGTACCCCCCCCCCGTGTGCTAGTGGCATTCCCGCCTTGCTGGTTCTGATGAGGTATCTTCCCTGATGTTCCGATTTTATAAATTTAAGCATACTACTAGATTGGCATCTAGGTCCCACCCTTTAACTGCTGAAATAATTAAATGCAACCGCCATTTCTATTCCAGCAGTTTATTTTCGAGCACTTCCCGACAGTGGAACTCCTTTCTTCTTACTCGCTTTCCTGATAACTACAATCTTTACAAATTTAAATGCAATATCAATCACCATCTTCTATAGCCATGATCCCCATTCTTCTTTCATCCTTTCCTCATTTCCCTCCATACAGTCTTTTCCTTCATTTTCACTCACTATAACCCGCTGCGTGCTAGTGGCTCTCTCGCCTTGCTTTGAGTGAAATGCTTAAAAAGATGTAAATTCAAATATGTGAGTTCAAAAACTTTCACGCTGCCTTGTGGGTGATGTATTATTTTGAACTCTAAAACCTCTTTCCTACAGGCGAAATAGCGCAAATCTCTCGCTACTCTCTCGCTATTTTCATGGAAAACATTTGAAGGAGTCACATTCCTTAGTTCCACCAGTTCAGACCTTTAGCGTTAAAACCATGCCACGTACACAGAGTTGAATCATCCTCATTCATTTCGGATTTTATTGGCTTGAAGGAAGTTCTATTCGAACAGCTTTTTTCTAACAACTGCTATTTTGTGGAGCAAGTGTATGCTTCCACGATCACTACAATCTTAATATCTTCGTTCAGTTAGGTAAGAAGGAACTTATATTCAAACAACTTCTTCTCAACAACCATTATTTTTTAGAGCAGATACACAGTCGCCACAACATTAACATTTTCAAGTCTAGGTTAACCGATATCTTTCCTACATATCATCATAATCTGTGATTCTTAAGCCATTTTCTTAGGTTCACACAACAAACTCGTTCAGTAATCATCTGCCTTGAGTGGCTCTTGTGCATTGTATTGGGTGAACAATAGTAAAAAAAAAATGCAAGTATTGTCTTCGAAATTCACTTTTGGTTTGACCCACTACTTCAAGACTGCACATTCTTTCAGATTAACTCATAAAATTTTCAGATTAACCCATATATATATATATATATATAATGTTGAGAGAGATGATGAAGACATTTTCTTACCATTTCCTTTGTTGAAATTTACAGGAGATCATCCAAATGAACACAGATTGCATTTACCCGGAATCAAAGAATATATTTAATCGCATGTGCGCAAGTCAGCAGTTTTGAAACGTGATACGAATTTCATGTCTCAGGTCATTTGAGTGTCTTGATGTTAACGTTAAAGTGTTCGTATTGAGTGGTATACGTTAAGAAGAGTAGATGTGTGTACGTGTGCATATGTGTGTGCGTGAGACAGAGAGAGAGAGAGAGAGAGAGAGAGGAGAGAGAGAACACGCTTGGATAGATATGTAAAAAAAATACAGTTATATATATATATATATATATATATATATATATATATATATATATATATATAAGTAAAATAATTTATATACTTCGTTTATGTCTTTGCCCCTAGGCGCGTTGCAAGCCTGCCGAACACAAAACTATATTGATTTCAATGATTCCTGGCTATAAAATAGCATCTCAAATGTTAGGCTATAAATATTCCTGTCTTCCATACTTTTAAAAAGTCAGCTATTTATTCGGGCGATTAAAATTTTCTAGAATTAAAAAAAAGAATAAATAAAAATTTTATTCATATAAATTTATAGCATCATTTTTTAATCATCGAATCAATTTCCTTGGCACTCTGTGAACTCGAGTCATGTTCATTAACTATATATTTTGCTATATGAATGAACTAAAAAAATTAGCTAACATATAAATTTCTGAACCATTTGTTGTTTCACGATGCCGCTGTTACCAAATTTTCAACGCGCAGTGATTGTTCTCTTTAAGAAAGAACATCCAACTTAGTGACTGAAAATCAGTTTACCGATGTTGCAACTGTACTTTGCTTTTGTTTCAAATAACTGTAAGAAAAATTTCATCAATTAAGTAAACTGTACCAAATTTCCTATTTTTTTTTGTGGACAACCCTGTACTCCGAACATAAGGTTAGAAAGGAAACCTCTCCGTCAATACCAGAAAGGGCGAAAACAGATGCTGGACTTGAGAAACCTATTTTCGTGTAAAATTGTTTTAAGAAAAAGATTTTATAAATTTCAACACTATCTGGTCGGTCAATGAATGTCGAATGTTTCCTTATAAGGAAACGGCTAATATTACATTAGCATTAGCAGTTTCGTTTTGGTTTAGCACATCATGATAGATGATGCCCTTCATATCCCACCGAACAACAGAGACGAGTTTTTTTTCGGTTGTACTCTTAGTTTGGGGATGGATTCTCCTTTTTCAGTAGATTCTAACCTTTGTTATTTTTGTTCAATATGATTATAGAAAAGACAATTTTCATCATGAAGGGCTGTCTTATGAACGATGTGTGACTTGCAGCTTCCATTGCTATAGAGCCCTTCATACAGGACACAGTGTCTGATATGGATCTGATCTAAACTCATTTAAAAAAAAATTAAAACCGATGCCAAATTTACACAATCTGATCTGCAATAGAAAAAGAAAATGTTAGAAAGTAATAGTTAATGAATGTTTTACCGCAGGTTTTGAAAAATGACTCAAAATAATCTTGTGAAAATGCAACAATACTTTCTTTCCAACGTGATAGATAAATAGATAGATAGGTAACAGACTGAAATAGATAGATAGATAGATAGATAGATAGATAGATAGATAGATAGATAGATAGATAGATAGATACAGAGATAGATACGAACAGACTGAGATAGAAAGATACAGAGGTAGATATGAAACAGACGAAAGTAGCTAGATAGATATGAACAGACTGAGATAGATAGATAACATACGGAAATAAATAAATAGATATGAACAGACTGAGATAGATGGATAGATAAGATAGATAGATAGATAGGTAACAGACTGAAATAGATAGATAGATAGATAGATAGATAGATAGATAGATAGATACAGAGATAGATACGAACAGACTGAGATAGAAAGATACAGAGGTAGATATGAAACAGACGAAAGTAGCTAGATAGATATGAACAGACTGAGATAGATAGATAACATACGGAAATAAATAAATAGATATGAACAGACTGAGATAGATGGATAGATAAGATAGATAGATAGATAGATAACAGACTGAAATAGATAGATAGATAGATAGATAGATACAGAGATAGATACGAACAGACTGAGATAGAAAGATACAGAGATAGATATGAAACAGACGAAGCTAGCTAGATAGATATGAACAGACTGAGATAGATAATAGACGGAAATAAATAAATAGATATGAACAGAAATAGATAGATAGATAGATAGATAGATAGATAGATAGATAGATAGATAGATAGATGGAAAAAAGATTTTCTGAAGGAATCGATTAATAAGGAGCAACTAATGTATCGGAAACAGGAATTATCATGAGAATCTCAGAAATTCAAAATTCGCCATTTTCCTCTTCCCATTATAATTCTCTCCATCTTTTCATTGCCACTGTCTCTTCCTATACCCCGGTCGCCATTTGCTTTATATTCAAGTTAGTGAATTTATCAAGTGTCAGGTATAATCTTAAGAAAAGGGACGTTTCGTGAAAGTCATGGGGTGAGTGGATGGCGTGCTGTGTGGTATGGCATCGTCCACTTCGAAGGCAATGAGAGATGGAAATCAAGCGGAGAAAAAAGATTACAGGACTTTGGATCAATAGTCAAATTCAATACCTCCTCCAAGTTTCGTCTGCTGAGAACCTTCAATCTTGTCTGCATGATCAGAAATGAATGGCTATTCTTTCAGAACGAAGGAAAGTTTAGCGTCTGCTTCATTCATTTTCAAATAGAACTGTTTGCTGAACGAGAAATAACTAGGTATGCATATGTTTCATGCTTTAATAGACTTATAAAAAAGTATTTTTTATGAAAAATTGTATTACAAATAAGTGAAGGAGCAAGTTTAATATTTTTGTTGTTAGGGTCATATAGTAGTAGTCGACTGAACGTTTAAGAGAGAAATCCAAAGTAGAAAATCAATAAAGGAGAGATTTAAAAAAATATCCTTAAAAACACATGAGTGCTGAATTATATACATGTTTAGAATCCTTGAGACCAGAAGTGCTTCGGTTTTCAGAGTTTTTCAGATTTTGGAATACAGAATATTTAATTTGTATATAGCATCTATATAATGAAGCAGCCAGGGAATGGAATCCAAGCATAAACACAATATTCCTTTACATTTCATAACACAGCTTATATATATACCCTGAAGGTAGTTTTGTATGCACTACGTATAACCTGAAAGTAGTTTTATATAAAATTAAATAAATTTTGTGTACATACAGATGCAGGTAATGACGCTAGTTATGTAATACTCACAGAGATTTTTAAATGGTGAAATAAAGACTTCACGTAAAGATAATGTTTGTACTTTCTGTACGTGTACAAAAAAGATGATCACTACTTACAAACCCCCCCCACCCCCCCCAAAAAAAAACAAAACATAAATGCAGGATTTTTGACATTTTGAATAAGATCTTTACTGATCACGAAACACCTGGTAAGTAATCCACGAACGAAAGTGTTACAGTGACGACCGCTAATAACAGAAATGGCCCCAATGTAGGCTGCATAGCTGGGATGGGGAACCCCCACCTAGGGCAGAAGAGATCACTTACAGCATCTGCACATCACCTAGGAACTTTCCCAGTACTTTCTAAAATTTTCCATTTGTGACAAATTATGTCAGTACCTCAAAAACTTTCGAATTTTGGAGGTTTTCGGATTTTGGAGATTTTCGGATTTTGGAGGTTTTCGGATTTTGGAGATTTTTGGATTTTGGAGATTTTCGGATTTTGGAGGTTTTCGGATTTTGGAGGTTTTCGGATTTTGGAATTTCTGATAAAGGATACTCAATCTGTATGAGGTTGTTTGGAAAATAATGTCCGATTTTAGAATCAGCTTTCATTCCTAAATTAATGTACTCAAACTCTGTTTAAATCAGTGAATATGGGAACACTGACCATCTATACAATCTACCATCTAGTTACATGGTTATTTTTGCCTTTACAATAAAACTCTAAAGGTTTGGATGCCAAAAAAATCTTTGGAGTTTCTGCATGTTCTTTGCAACGGAATGTCTTTTAGATTAAAAATTGTCAAGATACTTGAAAAGTGTTAGTCAGCGGATGCAAGATCAGGGGAATACGGCGGGTGCGTATCCCAAGACTGTGAATTTCTTTAGTGTCATCCTGGCAGCATGTGACCGAGTATTGTCATGAATGAGAATTGTACCTTGCCGATTAACCAGTGTGGGTCGCATTTTGCTTAACTGACTGCATTTCATCCAGTTGCTGACAGTAAACTTCGGTAGTGACGTTCTGGTTAGATTCCAGAAAGCTGTAATCGATAAAGTCCCTATTTGATCAAGAAATGGATCATTCGAATTTTGCAGATGCAGTATCGAACACAGAGTCTCTGAATTTACTGGGTCCATATGGAACCCATTTATCGAGTTCCTTCCTTCACATTCTTGACTGATTGACTGATTCATTTGTTTTTTTGTGGATTAAAACCATAAGGTTATTTAAAGCTCGAACATAACTTGTAATATTTTTAGATAATCATTTACTGATGCAAATCCTACTATTTAACTCATAGCTGGGGAGAAAAGGTGAATTCATTACCTTTCCCGGAGTATTTGCGCGTAAGTGAATACAACGAATCCTACTGGAATAGGAACTCGGCTCTCCGATTTCTAACTCCGAACCGTTATCCCCTACACCCCCACACACCCCAGTATACAGCACAAGTTATTCTCAAGCGATCACCCATCTAAGTACTGACCAAGCTCTGAGTTGCTTAATTTTGGTAATCAGACGAGAACTAGTGTTTCGACGTGATATGGCCGTTAGCCCAATTTTCTTGAGATGGTTCGTTATTGTTGAAATGCTGACACGTATTATCTGTGACATTTCTCTGGCGCGGCTTTAGTTCAACTAGTGTTTTCAGACGTTAATTGTCAATTGCAGATGGACGTTCTCTATCGCCTTGATATTCAAGACTCGTATCCCCACTGCGGAACTTCAGAAACCGGCGCCATATTGTACGATCAGACGCGGATCCTTTACCCCATGCTCAGTTAATGTTGGCATCAGTTTGAGAAACATTATGACCAGGCTTGAACTCATGCAGAAAAGTAAACGCATCTTTTCATTTTTAATGTTCAAGATGACGTGTATATAATGTTTTATGTTCAATTTTGAAAGAGTTTGATATGAAATTACCAAAGAGGACACTTTAATCATTAGGAAGGAGTAATATGTATTTGAGTAACTATTACAATAATATATTAGAACACAATTCAAAGGTTTATTCTAAAATCAGACATTATTTTCCGAACAAACTAATATCTAATCTTCTGTATGGCAGTGAATGCTGAACAATCTCCCAATGCCTTAGAAGATTAGAGATTAGAAAATGTTAGAAACAAAGCAAATAGTGCTGAACTGCTCTGTGATATCTAATCTCCGATATGGCAGTGAATGCTGGGCAACATTGTTGAAATAGAGAGCTGAAGCTATAAACATTTAGAATACCATGTACAAAACATGGGACCAACAAAGAAGTCTTAAGAACCTATAAGGAAACGTATAATTACAATCAGAACGAGACTAAATTTTTTGAACACGTAATGAGGAATGTGAGCTTGGAGAATTTGACAGAAACAGGTGCGAGGAACAGGAAGAAACAGTAAGTGAATGAACGACAGAAAAATGACAAAGAATCGTGGTAATGGATTAAATTTACCGCAATAAAATACCAGAAGTCGTGGAGAGCTCTAATCACTCATGTCTTGAAATCACATAGGACATAAAAGAAGAATATTTTAGTTGGCGTGATGGTTAGTAACTCGAAAAAGGAATAAGATTCTAAACAAAACTGCCTTCGTCACACTTGCACTAATGTTTTATGTAGAAACGCAAATTTAATTTTGCATACGTAATGTTAAGTAGCCAGTGATTTTGACCAGTCATGTTTCATCTTTGAACGAGACATGAATAAAGTGATGCCATTCTTGGGGTGTCCAATCACCACTCCATTGCACACAAAAAATTAAAGGTCGTAGGTCACTCTGACGCCTTTGCTTTATAGGCTGCAGTTAACTAAGCAATTGATGGCTCTACTTATAGATCCGTGTTTAAGGTCCAACTTTTCTCACCTTCCATCAGCATGTCTGATGCTAACCTCCAGTAAAGTGAATTAGTCTCGTCAATAGTAAAACATGAAGGATAGAGATGTTAAGAGGTTGCATGTATAATTTCTCTTCTTCTTGACCTGTGAAGGTCCTTTTTGGGAAGTAAGCCTTCTCCAGATTCATGGGTTGGGGAACAGGTCATTATTCTACAGCGTTAGGTCAACGTGGCAGGCGTGGCATACTAGGGCGATCAGGTCTCTTTTCGATTCATTATACATAAGGGTGTTTGCGCGTAAGTGAATGCAATGAGCCTGACTGGAATTTGAACTCAGCTCTCCGATTTCTCATTCAAGGCTGTCAATTATTAAACCACTCATACTTCCAAGCTTACAACACATGGTATTCCTAAGCGGTCATCTATCTAGGAATTGACCAGGCCTTGACTATGCTTAACAGTATGTGTGCCAGTATTTTTCAACGGCATATATATATATATATATATATATATATATATATATATATATATATATATATATTATATATATATATATTGTTTTGAACAATAAAAAATATTGAAAAATTAAAAAATTAAAATTTTCAGACACACTGGGTTGTATATTAATATGTTTTGTTTTTTTTATTTCATTTAGGTTTCTCGACTAGTTTCGGCCAGCAATGGACATCATCAGGAGAAAAACACCCTGCTTGCTAGTAGCTGTGAACTACAGGAATAAACGACTGTCTGAAGAAAATGAACTTTATCTGTAGTTTTCATTAGTACTTTTTATCATTAATTTTGGTCAATCCTTGAGTCGGTCAAACGGCTTCTTTTAAGTTGTTTTTAAGATAAAGGCTGTGGAGATTCGTGCGACTCAGATTTCCCTTGGTCATTTTGACAGTTTTATTGGTTGCTGGAAAGGAGGTGTGTTGTGTTAAGTGTATGTTATCATTTGGTTCTTCGGGAGTGTGTATGATGTGTGTAAGTGTATATATTAGTTGGGTGTGTATATAAGTGTGAGACCTCAACACTTCCGCAAGTATGTCTGCCTTGTGTGGGTAGGGCTCGATTGATGGGGTTATGTATTAATTCTACCTATGTTGTTAAATTTGTGATTAAGCCCGTTTGCATGAAGTGTTTTGAGGCGCAAATTCCATTTGTCTTCATGGTCTTCCAGAATTTTTCTAATGTCATCTTTTCTGTTTTTTTCTATTTAAATTATAGTGAATTTCGCATGGCTTTTAAAATCATGTTTTTCTAGGCGGAAATCTTCTACAGGTAATAATATTTCATGGGGAGCCGACTTAATTCGATTACGATAATTATTAATTCTGTAGTGCAAGGGCCATTCAAATTTTCCTATATACTGTTTTTGGCATAGTGTGCATTCTAATAAGTAAATTATATTATGACTTCTACAGTTAGAGTTATGGTAGATTTTGAAAATAGATTTAGTGACATATATATATATATATATATATATATATATATATATATATATATATATATATGTGATAAAAATATACTTTTTAAGGTATGCTGTAGTTATTAGTTAAAATGCTCAATATCAGGCACAGAGCGCGTATGTAAATATAAAAGTGGACATTAAGGTCAACAGTGGCTATTTATAGCTATATAGCGAGACTCTTCGCAAAAGCGAATTGAGTCACTGGGCGTGTTTCTAAAAATAAATACGCTAAAAACCCACCTTCATCCCTACCGTGCGCCGACGGCTTAATGGTTAGAATCTCCGACTGACACCAAGCCAGTTTCGATCCTAGCTAGAGGCAACCGGATGTCTAGCCGCACTGATGAGCTGTGAAACTGCGAAACAGTCTGTCTGACGTTTATATATATATATATATATATATATATATATATATATATATATATCCCTCCTCGATAGCACGACTTGGAGTTTCATATACAACGAAAATTCCAGGTACTGAATATAGACTGACCGTTGTGTAATTTAAATTTAATAAAAATATTTGGTTAACGCATTGTAGACGTAGTCCATATATTATAAAGGGATTACAGTGTTTTATTTTAAAAATATATCTTGCATTTAAAATAAACAGGATTTATATATATACATATATATAAAATAAAATAATTTTGGCTTAAAGTTGTAAATATTAATTTTATATTAGACAGAAAGGAAGATTACTGTTTTTTAAAGCAATAAAACTAAGGAAAAACAAAAGAGAAATGCCATAATTTACATTAAAAATTAAATCTGGATCAACGTATTTCAGAAAATATTTATTTTTATGCCTACATGTAGCTATTAATTCATTTCTCTTGTTTAATAAGCTAGCGTTATTTCAGTGTTTTTATGCAAGGAATAAATTACATCTATTGCTTTTCCCATTGTAAGATTAGGCTCTTGCTACAATATCCCACGTAATAATGGATGTATTACTACCACTCTTTAATTGCCAGAAATGTTTGGAGAGAGCATGCTGTTTATGCATCTTAAATTGCCTAAAGTCATTCGATGATCGTAGAAATGTAATTTCCAAGGATTTTCAGTGGAACCAAAATAAAATTTGACTTCGTTACCGGAATGTATGCTTGCTCTGTGTACAATATTATCAATTATACATTGGCCGTTTAAAGGACAGATTGTATTTTTTCGGTAGTTGCATTATTCTAAAAAATATCAACTTGTTGGCTTTGCTGGACATGTATCTGTTTAATATAACACACACATACATATATATGTATAAATGTGGAAACAATATATATAACGTCATCCACAGACAGACTGTTTCGCAGCTCATCAGTGTGACCGGTTGCCTCTAGCTAGGATCGAAACCCGACTGAATTGGTGTCAGTCGGAGATTCTAACCATTAAGCCGTCGGCGCACAGTAGGGATGAAGGCGGATTTTTAGCGTATTTATTTTTAGAAACACGCCCAGTGATCGACAGTGACTCAATTCGCATCTGCGAAGAGTCTCGCTATATAGCTATAATAGTCACTGTTTACCAACCCACACCTCGTCCCCAGAGAGCTCAACTGATTCTATTTATACGTTATTTTTATAGATACAAATATTTAAGTAAATGGTCTGTTTATAATATAGGATACAGGTTTGATTCCTCTCGGAGGACACATATATTCTATGAAATTTCTAGGACATTCAGGCTGATAAATGTAGTTAATTACATTTATTATAAATAAAGCATTTACTTAAATATCTGTATCTATAAAAATAACCTATAAACAAAAATATATTAAAATAATTGGCGGTCTTAGGTCCATTCCATATATATATATAGAGAGAGAGAGAGAGAGAAAGATGTCTCTCTATTTCTCACCACACATATAAATATATACTTGTGTGCGTAAGGTACATATCTTCAGTCATACGTGCCAGACGTTTGGGCGATCAGGCATCTTTCGATACATGACTGATTAACACATTTTCCCCGTACCAGATTGTCGTTACTTTCTGCAGTAGACTCTGCTATTCAACCCATATCTGGGGGATATTTGCGCGTAATATAACGAACCCAATTTGTATTCGAACTCGGCTCCTTGATTTCTCATTCCGAACCGATATCCATTACACCACAACGGAAACCGAGTTGATAAGTTATTGCTAATAGGGTCTTTCATATTTTAGATGCATGCCAATATTGAGCTAAGCCTGTAAACACAGTCATTTACCGACCATAACAAGAGCATCCAATCACAGATATATTATGGA